CGGATGTGGCCCGCGGGCCTTGAGTTTGACACATGTGCTCTAGATGGAAAAATAATAAGCACTGTTTTAGCCATACTGAGTGGTTGCAAGAATGAAAAATACATTAGAGAAAGGCAGAGATGCAGGGCTGCACAAAGGGAAAATATATTTGTGAATCATCAACATAGACGTGAGAGATAAAAACCATGGGAGGAAATGAGATCACCCTGGGAGACAGTACAGAGGGAGAAAAAAAGGGGAAAAAGGATTAAGATACTTTAGGGACTAGTAGATAGGGCCAGACTTTGTACTTTTTGTTAGGTCTGTGAACCATTCTGCCACTGAGGTTCCCTGCTCCCACCCCTTGCCAAATAATTGACTCCTCTCTCATTATCCCCCACAAAACAAATATTGATAGCTGACTCTTATCTACCTTGATCACATTCCACCCGGTATGAATGTGAATGAACAAAACAATCTCTGGATATAACTAAATAAGTAGGATAACCATGTGTCCCATTGCCAAGAGGAAAAGAAGTAGGGCTGGAAGTGGAGAGGAAAATGAGATGTTGATTCAGAGACTAAGTTGAAAAATGAGAAGAAAAGGAAAAAGTGAGAATAAACGGATCTTGCCATAAGGTGTCAGTTTTGTTTTTGCAGTAGTCAGCAAAATCTAGGGCAGAGAGAGAGGGGAAGATAGGGCCTGGGTAGCAGGTTTTAGAAGAAGTCTATCAAAGAAGTAACATTGCTTAAGCATGTGAGAAAACAGTGTGGAAGAAAGAGGATCAACCTAAGTTACAATGGAAAATGTCTGTGAGAGAATGGAACTGGAGGTGCGAACAGAGGTACACCACAGGTGAAAGAGACAGCCAGAGGGTGGTAAGCAAAAGAAGAAAAATACCAAAAATAGGATGACGTTAAAACCAACATCAGTTTTGAACAACTCAGGGGATGGTAGAAAGAAGAATGGAGAACAGAAATCTGATTTAGTAATTACCGTTTTAAGTAATTACTAGACATACACAGAATGTGTACTTCTCAGACAATTATTTTTAGCAATAAACGATGATTTGGTGTTCCAGATTGACATGTACATGACAAGCACATACGAAAGCTCTGCACCCTGAAAAACTGTGTAAACTAATTGAGCTTGACCAGTTGTTCTGGGTAAATGCACTGGATAATCTCGCTGGATAAAGCCCTCCTATCTTAAGGTTTTGGGAAGGGGGTGGAGGCTAAATGTGATATCATTAGATCGCACATTCAATTCCACTATTGTGTGCTCCAAGGCTTTGTGAATTAGAGTGGTTTTGTGCTATACAGTATGTATGAAATCTGAAATACAGGGCCAAAGCAGCTAGCCTAAGAATAGGCCACTGGACCTACCCCTCCTTACCTTTGGGATGTCAGGGGAAAGGGACCATGTACTATCTATCCATATATCTATTTCAGCAAGCAATCACACTCCCTTTTTATTAAATCTAAGAAAGGAAATTAAATGCAAAAACATCCCAAACAATTTAGATTATTGGAGTGTTAAGGTTGAGAATTTATAACACAGAACAGTCTGAAAGGTCAAATTTATGACTGCTACATTTGTTAAAATTCAGGCTTTCTGAAATCACTGCATATATTAATGTATAGAGCTTACAAAATATACAAACATAACAAAATACTACATACATACAAGTGAGTTGAGTTAAGGTGTTTTAGAAAAATAACTTTGAATCTCCTGTCTTTGTTATGTTTAAATTCTAAACCATAATTTTACATTAATACTTATACTTAGGCTGTCAGTAGACTGAAAACTCCTGGAGAAAGGGGTTGTCTTTTTTGTTTGTTTGTGTAGCACCTAGCATAATAAGGTCCTGATCTGTGATTGGAGCCCACAGATGCCACTGCCGTACAAATAACAAACAACAACAACATAGTTTTTGCATTGATGATGTATATAGAATTATATAATTTACAATAAGTGTTAAGTTTAATCACAGGCATCATAGCTTTTTATAGTGCCATTTCAAACCATAGAATAGCGCTTCAAAAACTGTAATAACATAATCTTAACTAAAAACTCTCTATATCCAAAGGCAAGCAAACCTCACTGCAGTAATCTTGGCAGGCTTCCCACTCTTAGCTACACAAGTGGTCATCTTGATTGAAACCCTCAACAATAAAAAGACAAAAAAGCAACCTAGTAAGACTGAAGCAGCTCAGCAGTACACATGTAAACCTAGTAGTACCCAAAAGATAAAGGAAAATTGGTTGGAAAAGAAAAGAAACAATTTCAATAGGCCTCTTAGGTTGTCTAGAGTCACAAATGTATCAACAAAGCTTTGCACTTATATGATATCATTAGATCACACATTCAACCTTTCATCCAAAGATCTTAAAGTTTAAGTTCAGCACTGAGGGAAATATCTCCCTCTGTGCTGATCCAATGTAGAAATGAGTCAATGAGAAATTAATGCAAGCTCTTATGGAGGCAACCAAAGTCACAAGAACAGTCCCTGAATAATGCTTTGCTGATATGTTTACATGGTTTGTTTTAACAATTCCACTCTTCCTACTTGACACTCAATGTAAAATATTACCTTTGTTTTCCTTACTGTCCTTTGCTTTATCCAGAGTGAAAGGAGAGAAAGAAAAAACCCAAGACAAAAAAACGCTCATCCCTTTATACAATAAGGAAAAAGGAAGAAAGAATTGGAAAAATGTATTAATTATATGTAACTTACCTACACAATCTCACTGAAGACATATTTAGCTACATATTTGTGACAGTTTATATGTCTGCCTGATGCCTGTGTGACACAAATATATCTGCATTCAATAATCCCCCTAAAGACAGTTCTCAGATCTGGAGAATCACCTTATTAGCCTTAAGTTAACCCAAATTTCGTCGTGGACAACAATATTTTAGACATCAAATGATTCTTGAAATAGGATTTTAACTTTATAGATGATTAAGCATAATATTTCTCTTTCACTAGACATGTATTATGAATAAGTATAGTTGCCTACGGAGAATAATCACATGTTCTAATTACCATTTTGGTTATACGCATAATTAACAACATTCTGGCTTAATAGGACATGCTGCATCTATAGACAGATGCATGCTTCAGGTCCAAAATCCAACTGTCAGCTGCATTGCCAAAGACAAAGAAGCCATGATGCTGTGTTTTTAGCTTTGGCAACAATGAACAAATCTTTATATGAGATATTGTAGTAAAATTAATCCTCTCATTGCTTTTCATCCACCACCCTCCCTTTAGCCACGTATCAAGCATCACAATAGCATTTTTGTACTGGTAATTTTGTATTACTGTGCTAAACTGTGATATGAAATTAGCTATATTGAAGAAATATGATCACACATTCCTATCAGAACTACACAATATGTGAGTAGATACAGCCTAGTAATCTGAATATCCAAATTATAAAATCAAATTAAAATATGAAAAGCAGACTTACTGATTGTAAGCTTTCATTTTCACGAAGACAAGCCGTTTGGAGTTCTGATTTCAGAGCTGCAATGTGATGTCGATGAGATGCTATTTCTCTCTCTAGTGTAGCAACTCTGGAGCTTGCGAGTTGGTAGACATCCATAAAACTTATAATCAGAGCCTTTAAAAAGTAAAATAAATAATCAATACCACGTGGACCTTACATAAATGCCAGCTTGCATACAGCCAAATTCATTAATAGAATCACACTAGCTAACTTTTATTAATAAAGAAAACAAAGGTTGGAAGATTTTCTAAAGTTAAGCAGCAGTATTTAACAATTAAAAGACATAGCAAAGGTTTATGTAATCCTACCAATATTGTAAATGGCTGATAGCATTACAGAAAGCACACAACCCTGCACTTAAATTAGGAGATATTTTCAAATACGGATTACTGCATTCAACAGCTGACACTGTTTTTCACTGTACTTAAATACAAGTTTCAGTGTAAGGTCAATTTCTATCTGCAGGGAAGTTTACCTCAAACACAGTTTGAGGTAAAAATGCACATTTTCAAATTGAACTGAGACACACACTCTCTCAACTCACATTAAAAAGAACACAGATTTAATTTGGCATGCAACAAAAGAAATCAAGTAAACTTCCAGACCTCTTAAAGTAAATAACCTGTTTACAATATAGCTGGGAAAATATAATTGTGCTTTGTGTATATGGAAGAATGTTCCAGCTGTGTAATATTGATCAGACTGATAATAAAGTTAACAGCAAAAGAGAATATAAATGATTTGGCAGTCCTAGTAACTTTATATCTACCCTAAATAGTATAACACTGTTGGGATTATTGCTCTTCTTTACAACAGGTTAATCACTTTTTATAGGTTACAGTTTTCTCTTCTGAAGTGACCTGTAGTGAGTTTTCTAATGTAAGAACAGCTTTAAGGCTAATATGAAATTTGCCTTCTGAATGTAATACTAAGGCCTAGTCTTCACTTACCGGCTGGTCCGGCGACACGCCATCGATGTTCTGGGATCGATTTATCGCGTCTGGTTAAGACGCGATAAATCGATCCCGGATCGATCCCGGAAGTGCTCACAGTCGGCGCCCGTACTCTACCGCGCCGAGCGGAGTACGCGGCGTCGACGGGGGGAGACTTCCGGCCGCGTCTGGACCGCGGTAAGTCCGGACTAAGTGGGGACCAGGCCTTAGTGTAGGCTAAAATAAATTCATTAGCACTAAAGGAAACTCCCAAGATCTTTTAAAGTTTTTCTTTGTTTTATAAATTTTCTACTGTTTGTGAAAATAAAATTAAAGTAACAGGGCTGAAGTCAAATGTATTACACCAGGTGTGAATACTGACAAATAATACTAATAAATTACTTAAATCACATATATGGTAGCTTTTCTTGGTAAGAAGAATCCCAAAGTGTTTTACACATTATGGCCCCAATCCAGGAAAGATATCCAAGCCAGTGTAAGGGCTTGCCTATGTTCATACCTACCAAATGCATCCGTGTCTTGAGTAGAATGTGGCAGCCATTTACAAAAAATATTACACAACGGTTTAGAACAAAACAAAGAATAGCATGTTCCATACAAAACACTATGATGCTTCACCTCAATGAGACTGCTCATGGGCTTAAAGTTAGGCATGTGCTGAAATACCTTGATGCAACAGGGCCTGTGGCTGAGCACTCAAATCAGGAAATATCAAGGCTGAGGTTACAAGCCCCTCTTAACTCTGACCCCTTCTATAGAAGTATTAAGATAGAGTCCTTCAATATATTATATTCTCAACTTTTACGATAATGACAATGAAGGTAAGTATATCAAATTGAAAATATATTTCAAGATGCTAAACATGTGTATCTCAAGATACAGAGAAAAAATCTTGCCCTGTTCTATTATCTGAGAAATTGTATGCTGTTGTGTAACTTATAGATGAATACACAGAAGGGAACAGGGTTTAGGCTGCAGGTGCAATTTGGACTCTGGCATTTGCTGTCTTTTCTTTGAAATAAAACTCCATTTCTGTAACTATTTAGGGCTATTACCAATATGTGACTTGCAAGCATGCATACCTAAAGTACATATTTAAGGTCACAGCTAAAATTAAAATGTGGAGACTGACTTTTCTTAGCTGCCCACCCTTTGAACTGAGGACCTGATCCTGCTAGCTCACATGTGCAGGTGCACCTTTGTGCCAATGCAGTCCCATTAGTGAGAATAGGGCTCTGCCCATGTATAAGAAGTTGTAGAATCAAGGTGTTATTGAAGCCCTTACTGAAAAGGTGCTGTGCACCCCATTTCACCATTTCCCTATCAACCATGAACTTTCTAACCCCAGCTGTTTCAGTTTTAAAAGGTTGGAAAGACTTATTTATTTTTTAAATCATAGGGATAGTGTATTTTCCTCTTAACTCTTCTTATGCTCAAACTTTCAGGGGGGGAAAAACAACATCCAGACTGAAAGGCAGAAGTTTCACAAAGTTATTAACAAAACAAGTAGCTGGAATGGAAACATTTATGCAACCTTAAGGAGGTTTAAACTCCCAGAGGAATTTTGACAGGCCAACCTAGATTTGAAATCAGCCAGGACATAGGGGTCAACATCCTCTACGCCTCCAAAAGGTACCAGGAGATCTTCAATAACAAATATCCAGAACTTCAGTTGTAAATCTAATCTGGAAGACAGCACCCCCAGCAGTAAAATGTGCTTAGCATCAATCAAGACACTGATTTATTGTTGAGTCAACACAAAGAAAATCACATGGAGAGACATCAGCATTGCTTCCTACAGTAACTAAGCTTCCCTTATTTGAATCATTGGTGGGAGAGGGAGAAATCTTTCCTATTTGCTCATTTTAAAGTTGGTCAAACAGTGATTTCACTCATTTCTATTGGAATTTAACATTTTTTGTTTTTATCCTTATTTGTATACTACAGATATAACATCTGCAATCACTCTAAAATAAGGTTTATTCACCGATCAACAGTGTTGTTAACAGAATTGGAGATCAGGTATCTTCCAGAAACAGAGCTTCACAGCCCCCAACTTCCACCAGCATGCCAGATTTTAAAAAACAGATACAACAATGACAAGTACAGATACTTTTGTAGCCTTCCGGATATATTTTTATAGCACTAAATTTGACATTCAGACATGTCTGTGGGAACCACATTTTAGTGAGCCCTTCTGTTTTTTGAATACACCGGTAATAGCGTGACATGCAAACTGGGAATAGAACATCTGAAACAAGTAACAAATCATCTTTCATTACAAGTAAGAATGATTTTTAAAATACATATTAGACATTGATTTTCATTCAGAAAAGCCAGTCATAGTGATCCGTGAACATTAGAGGAAGCAATTTTTGCAACCCACACATACATTTTCACACATTCACTTTAAAAGCTAAAACCCCTTCCAGACTGACGAGTATTGTAGGAATGTCAGTGGGGCAGCAGACTTAGCTAAAGAGGCCACAGCAATTCTGAGGGCTGAAGAATATTAATTTTAAACATTAAAAAAGCCAGCTGGAATATAAGATGTGAGTTAATAAAGGCTGAAACTTGCATAATGCTGCCAATTTTAGAGCAGAAATGGTAATGAATTCCTTTTTTTGGTTAATTCAGAGTAAGTAGTCAGAGTCCCCTTCCTTTTCCCTCCTCTATGCCTTCATTTCATAAGAGATGTAGTTATTTTTTTAAAATCATATATCTTATAGTGCTAGTAACATGGCAGAAGCATATTATAATGCCAAAAGGAGTTATCACTGTGAGAACATACCCATGTTCCAACTCTACTGCTCAAGACCTGTCAGCTTCATGAAAATGGAAAGGCAACATGCTGAATTGGCTGCAACTAATGACACAAAAAGGGTACTGAAGAGAATAGCATGGAGAAAGGAAGGTCTTGCAATTAAGGTGCTGGACTGGGGTAAATGTTAAGAAGAACGTAAATCCCATTTTAAAATGTGACATTCAATGAAACTTAAGAGCCTAAAAGCCAGATTGTTTAATATCTTTAGATGCTTAAAGATGCAGGTAGATGGCTAGTGGGATTTTCAAAAGTGTCTAGGTGCCTAACTCCCATTGATTGCAAAGGGAGTTAGGCACCTTGTGGACTTTTCAAAATACCTCGGCACCTATCTGCATCTTTAGATGCCTATATACTTTTAAACACCTGGCCCTAAATTACTTTTGAAAATGGGACTTAGGTACCTTTGAATATGTCTTAATTTATTTTTGCCTCTATTCCCGATCAGTAAAAGGGGGCATTGTGAGAATAAATGTATTAATGTCTGTGATGCACTCAGTTACTATGACGATGGAGGCACTGTGAGTGGGGAGATAGATAAGATAGTACTTATCCTTCCACTTCCTTAATTTTGGTTAAAATGGACATTGAAAGGTGACACTATCTGTTTTAAATTAAAACAGATAAAGGTAAGGATTAGTTAAGAGCATAACAAAACACCGGAAAAACAAGAACAAGAAAAATCTATTTAACCTAATAGGTAAGCTAAACCCTGCTCAAACACTACTAAGTTTGAGGATGGCCTATTTGTACTACAGAGTTTCTCACAAATAGTTCTGGTTTGGGCTACAGATCTATGAAGTTGAGCATCTTACTCTGACAAATTGCCAGTGAGGCAAACTACTTCAAGCCTTATATGATTTTTTAAATAACACGAACTACGGAGCAAACATATAATTTTAAAATTATCATATTGTCCCCCTCCCAACCTTAGAATAGAACAAGAGTTTTCACAGGAGGCCCCTTTCTACAGCACATGCAAAAAAAAAAATATATATCACACACACACACACACACACACACATACATATATATATACATACACATACATACACTCACGTATATATATATATATACACACACACACACACACACACACATATATATATTCCCTCCCTTCAGTGATATGACTGATCATCTCTATGTGCTCACTGTTATTCAGAAACAGAAATTCTAAGATGTGCAGTGCAACATTATGCTTGTAAATATCTTTTTCATTATATTATTGGCTAGAAATTTGTCAGCTGGAAGACTAATCTTTGGGGATTTTTTTATAAAGTATAGTAATATATGGCATTCTGTTAGCTGGCACTGATAAATTATGCAACAATGTTCAAGAG